TTGACAGTGACACCAACACTCCCAAAAACCTTTCCGAGTTTTTCGTCGGGACTTGCAGTCCCGAATTAACTTTCAATGAAAAGCAGGAAGGAGGGAAAAACACTGACTTGTGTCAGTTTATTGATGCCGCATACAACGTACAATACTTATTTATTGTTACTTTCACTTCATCTAACAGTAATATGGTATTTTCACAAGCAAACGTAAGATCATCAACCAATGTTCCTCCCTTCTATTGAGGAGGGGGATAAGGACATCATGATGCCTATTATCAATGAATTGTATTTAATATTGTTTAACAATGTTTTTAATTGCAAAACAAAAATGAGAGGGGTTGGCGGACAGCTTTGTCCCAAGGATTTAGTTAACTAAAATCCATTTGACAGTCTGCCACTGACCAGAACTGTGGATGTGGAGTGAGCATACATTGCTTTGATCCAAATTCTGAAGCATGGGCAAAAACCCATTCTGCTTAAGGTGGTAGACACGAACGCCGAACCTACCTTATCGTAGGCCTTCTCCATATCGAGGAGAAGAACCACGACTTCACGTTTCTTTTTTTCGATTATCTCAAGTGCTTGGATCGTGGTTAGGATATTTTTAAATATTGAGTGACTATTAACGAAGACGCCCTGCTCCCTGTCTACCAGGTTGGGGAGCAGGTCTGCCAGCCTTAAAGCTAGGGCTTTGGCCAAAATGTTATAGCCCACATTTAGGACCGAGATGAAATGGTAATTACGAACCTCCCTCTTGTCCCCTTTGTTGTACATGAGGGATGTAACCCTTTTAACAAAGCCCTTAGGTAGATGCCTCGTAGATAGGGCTCTGTTGTAGACTTGACATAGGAAGGGGGCAAAGAGCTCCCATGTGCTGAGAAACAATTCAATTGGCAGACCCTCCATCCCTGAACTTTTACCAAGGACCATTTTTTTTATTGTCTTATATCTCCTGCTCCGTCAATGGAGCATCTAGTCTATCTCGGTCTGAGAACTGGATCTGAACGCGAGAACGGTCCCAAAAATCAGATTTCAATGACAGATCGAAGTCAAAATGATCATATGGCCTATGCGTGGACACAATGTCCCTGAAGTACTCTAGAACATACTGACACTGATTCTCCGTGTCTGCAGCCGGCGGAGTGGCGGGGCAGTAAGAGAAAAGGGGTGTTGCAATTCCCTTACAAGCGGTTTGGGCTATCGTAGGATCAGGGAACAAAAAGTGGGTTTGGTCATTCTGTCATACACAGTAATCTCACGCAGTTTCAACCATTCAACCCAGTTGTTCTGTTTCTATTGTTCCATTTCCTCCACTTGGGTTAGAGTTTTTTTTTTTTGTGTGCAGTGATCGTCAGTGAATTTGTCCTTGCCTAGATTCATTTTTGCATTGACTATGACTTTCTTAATTTTGACTTCTTTCCAATTTTTCCGAACAACCTTCATTCGGGAGAACTCAATGAGCGCTGCTCTAATTATTTGGATGCCTACATCTGGCCAGTCCTCTTCCCTTTAAAATAGATCCTTGGCCAATGACCATTCTTGCATCCGGTTGGCCACCTGTTGTGGAATACCCTTATCTTTAGGTTGTTAGTGTTCAGTATGAAGGACGGTCTTTCCATTCCGATTGTGTCGTTAGATAGGATTTCGATTAAAAAAAATGGATAATGATCAGACATGGAGGAGAAATGGAGTTATGAGGCCATACACCTCTCCCATAACACACCCCTCGCCACAATAAAATCACGCCTTTTACTTGGGGCTAGGGAAAAATCATAAGGGTAAGCCCCAAACCAGGTATGACCACTAAGGTCCGAGTTTAAAGCTCTAAAGGTATCCACCAAGTCCTGGGATTCTTGGAAGGTCATTAGCAGGCAAGCATCCTCTCTCAAAGGAGAGAGCTTCAGTGAGTTTAGACTCGGACTCAATATTGTATTCCAGTCGCCTAGAATGGCCATGTTTTTGTGTCGGGGATACAAGTAGGTAGGTTTGCAAACAAGGTTGTTCTATCAATATAATCCATTGGGGCGTTGATTGAGACAATAACCCACTCCTCTTCTTCTACTGCAATTTTTACTCATACTAATCGATCCGTCGGGTTAGCATAGGAATCCATATTTAAAAGTCGAAATCCTTACTAATCAGAATGACCGTCCCTCCTCTGGACCCTCTCGTCGGAGCCCAAAATTGAGGGTCTTGCCACCATGGCCTGATTTCTTTAATTTTTTCTGCATTCAATTTTGTCTCTTGGACACACAAAATTTGAACTTCCTCCTTATGCATCCAAGAGGGGATCCTTGCTCTTTTCTGTCTTTTGGTTGTGTCTCCTTTAACGTTTCAACTAGCTATGTGGAGCTTAGGTGACATAAGCATTGGTCTGGTTCGCCCCACTTTGCTGATGGATACGAGTGTCATTTTCAGGGAACTTCAAGGACAACGTTGAAGCAATGATCGTAACTCTAAACTTTGGCTTTGATACCGTGGCCACTGCGTCCGAAATTGCCATCCAGTCAGTTACTTCTTGTGATGTGCTAAAAGAGGTAAGAGAAATGGACGACGCGCTGTTGCTGTTTGGAGCTAGCAAATTTGTCAATCGGTACCAGTGTACTCTTTTAGCGCACGATGAGCCAAAAGATTCAGTAACCGATCTTATGCCCATGAAAACCATGTGGAAAATAACCTTGTTCCCCCCCAGTTGGATTGGTATGTGGCAACCTGGTTTAGGGTCAGGCAGGATTGTGCATCCTTTTTGACTTTCGTCGCTCATGCATATCACTTTCTGAAGGACAAAAAAACACGCGACAAAACAAAAAAGAAAGCCAAATTTGGTCCTAGTAAAGGTGCACTCTCAAGGCATACTCGCACGGCGACTCCAAATCCGTAATTTGGGAACGACCGATTTGAGGTTTTGGGCATGGTTCACGTCACACTGCTGTGCCTTTTTAGATGGGACAAGATCGCGGCCGTCTGGAGAAATGGGGATTTGGTACTTGGCGGGTCACACGGGGCCATCCCCTAATTGTGCAAGAACTTTTCTGAACGAATTTTTGCCAATTTTCGAAGAAAAATGCAACAAATGAAAAAGGGCATTTGCGGTGACCTCCAGAGGTGACCGCAAAATCCCTTGCCCCGCGGCTTCCCAGGGCACTGGAATAGTAGATTTGTGATTTTGGTAGATCCGTGTGACCGACTTTTTACCCTCTTTTGGGTGACTTTGGGATTATAGGTCCCCGTGTGAGTATGCCCTGCACGGGGACCATAATCCCAAAATCCCTCAGGGCATATTCATACGGGGACCTATAATCCCAAAATCCCCCCCAAAAGGGTAAAAAGCCGGTCACACGGATCTACCAAATTCGCAAATGTACTATTTCAGTGCCCATTTGTCAGCGGCCTGGGAAGCCGCAGGGCAAGGGATTTTGCGGTCACCTCTGGAGGTGACCGCAAATGCCCTTTTTCATTTGTTGCATTTTTCTTTGAAAATTGGCAAAAATTCGTTCACAAAAGTTCTTGCACAATTAGTGGATGGCCCTGTGTGACCAGCCAAGTACCAAATCCCCATTTCTCCAGACGGCCGCGACCTTGTCCCATCTGAAAAGGCACAGCAGTGTGATGTGAACCATGCCCAAAACCTCAAATCGGCCCTTCCCAAATTGCGGATTTGGGGTCGCCGTGTGAGAATGCCCTCGGAAAATGAAGTGCTTTTCGAGGGTAGGTCCCTAGTAGAGGCTTTTGAAAGTCGGACCAATCTCTCTCGAAAGTGGGCCCATTGCAGGCACGCTAGGCTGCTCCGTTTTTCTTCAGCAGTGCTCTCGAAAGCTAATCTCTGACAGTCCCTGTTGTTTTCTCTGACACTCAAATCAAGAGAGTGCAGGAATGCAGTCACTCCCCAGAAACGCGAAAATGAGGGGTGGAGCCAGAGCCCTCTGGCCAAAAAAACCCTTCGGAGGGAGCAGACAAACCTGGTTCGTGGGATTTAGCAGTGGGCAAAGTCGGTCGTCCAATCCAAGAGTGGGTGGACCCTGCATAACTATTTTGAACATATCGGTTTCGGCTTCGTGCTTTGGAGCACAAGCCTGATTCGAACTACCGGTATGCGTGGAAAACGTTTGGAGGTGCCACGTTCGTGCTATCTGAGCACGGAGATGGCGTCAGCCATGGCTGGGGCTGAGCAGGGATCTACTGTAGGCATAGGGCCCCTTGCCCGGGTGCTGAAATCACGAATGTGGTCCAAAAACTGGCTAGATTCTTTGACCACCTTAGTGCCAGTCGGCGGTGATCGCCATTCAGCTTCATAGAAGGCCGTCACCCAAAGGCCATTTCCGGTCCGATGGCAGTGCAGTGACGTGGGTAGCGCACCCGGTTGTTTGTCGTGTCCCGTATAGAGGCCCTTCTCCAAGTGTAGGCGACACAAAAAAAGGGGGTACCTGGGGCTAGGTCCCACATACACGAATTAAGAGATATTGACCGTAGATAGCACAGATCGACGGTCAAAATCTCGTAATACGTGCAAGTGGGACCTTGCCCCTGGTCGTTTTCCGATTCCTATTCGGCAACTTAGGGTGTGCTCACATGAGGACTTTCCTGGACGTATCTGACGACAACTAAGGCTTGTCCTGGATGTATAGGACCGCAATTACGTCTATAGAGAAGTCGAGAAAAGTCCGAGTGTGAATTCGCTTTTACAGGTCGTTTTCGACATGACGAACGCAGGTTAGGTCTTGCTCATTTGCCGACTTGTTTGTCATTCGCCGGAGATTTGGTCGTTCCGTTGGCAGGCACCAGCATCCTGAGAGACGCTTGTGCCTGCTTGCTGGCAATCAATTAGGCGTTGCGGCCAGCGTGTCGTGCTGCGATAGAGAAGGGAAGGGGAGGGAGGGGAATCGATCCAGTGGGTGCTACCGGTAGGGGCAATGGGGGGAGGGTTAGGGGGGGGGGAGGAGGAGAGATTTGGGAAAAGGTCGGCGCGCCTGTGGCAAGACAGAGCGGGAGGTTGGTGAAGAACTATGAGGGCAGGGCCTGAGGGGAGGTTTGGTACGCGCTGAACTTTCAACGAAACTTCTCGCCTCCTGCAAGGAATTGAGGACGTGGTCCTTCCACGTCATTTGGTGTTTTCTCTGCGCGGAGTCATCTTGCGCCTCCCCCTGCTCATCATCATCGACGGTGGCTCACTCTCCTCCTGCTCATCATCGGCGGTGACCCACTTTTAAGGTGAAGTATAGATTAGATCGCAACAGATGATGGGTTTCTTCACCCTTTCTGGCTATTTCGGTAATTAGTTGGCTGCAGATTGAAGTCGACGATGGGAAGGGAACGAACTTTTTTTTTTTTTTTTTTTTTTTTTGTCTCCATCCTTCACCCATTATTCTGTTTGCCGTTGTTGTCAAACGCTGCCATCCTCGCAGTTGCATGTATACCACCACCCCCTCATCTTTCACCAATCGGGCCTCGCTCCACTACTCTCGAAATGTGCAAAAAACGAGAGTGAATCTTCCGCTAGAACATGGAAAGATACACCGCCATGATTTTTGTTGTTTATGCTTGTCGAGAGGGAGTGGAGCGATGCCCATCATCGAGAATCATCTTTAGTGCCTATGATCTGATCGAATTGCTTGCTCACTGCGATTTTTGTCGTGTGATTATACTCTCTTGCATGGGGAGAGAATGCTTCATGACCGCAAAGATATACTGCAGTCGAACCCCTTGCAGGTAGTCGGGGCGCCTCTTATCAACAGAAGAGTACTACAGTCTTCCCCCGAATACAACGTATGGTAGCTGAATCTGGCGTATCTTTCGGTCTAAATTCAGCTATAACGACCGTACGTTGTATTCGGGGGAAGACTGTAGAGTGGTGTGCCTCCACGTACGACAGTTGGGTGAAGCATTTCATTTTAATTAGGGTAGAAGCGTTGGGACGGGAGAGAGAAGTAGTGAGATATTTCGTCGAGTGTTTAATTAGGGATACGAACGTTGAGATGTGAGCAATCATCGCAAAAACATTATTGAAAAAGCGATTCAATTGTGAAAGGACGGGGAACAAAATTTCACACATACGATAGTTTGGGAGGCCTTTTTTTTTTTAGTTTGTTAATTAGGGTAGGGTAGAAGCGCTGTGAGGGGAGAAATCGTGAGATTTTGTCGAGTGTTTAATGAGGCTACAATCGTTAAAAGATGTGAGCAATTATCACTCAAACATTAAAATGAATTTGAATTAATTAATTCCGTAAGTTCAATTCTGAATGAGCGGGGAACACAACTTCAGTATCGTTTTTTCGCAACTTTTTATTTTTTATTTTTCCAAATGTTCTTTCGATTTTTTTTTATTTTTTTTTCAAATGTTCTTTCGAAACGTTTTTTTTTTTTCAAATGTTCTCTCGAATTAAGTAATTATTACATTATATTATTATATTCTCAAAACCGTGAATCACTCTGCTCATCCTAGATAAGCTGTGAGAAGTCGTCAGTCGACTAAACGTCGCGAGAGGAATTACACACACACAAGCGTTTCCTTTTTTTTTTTTTTTTTTTTTTTCTTCTTCTTCTTTGCAACAGATTGTCTTTTTCCTATCTTCACGTCACTTAGTCTTTTTTTTTTTTTTTTTTTTTTTTTCCATTTCATTNGTCTTTTTTTTTTTTTTTCTTTTTTTTTCCATTTCATTCTTTGTTTGTTCTGTGATTTTTTCGCCTTTCGAAAATATTGTTGGTTCCTGGTATTCTCTCTTTCGCCTTTTTTGAAAATATTGTGGACTTGTTTTACTACATTGATTGGATCTAGTGATCTTCATCTCCTCTTTATGTACGGTTTGGATTTGTAGCTTGCCCCTCTGTGTTCTCTGTTCTATATCTCTCGTCTCCCCCTCCTGTCACGTCCCTCTCTAGTGATCGGCCAGAATCCTTCCTCAGTTCCTTATCTACCTTCCCTCTATCCAGCGGGGAGAATTCTTTCCCTGTGTGTCAGGGGTTCGAATCCCACTTTTGAATTGGGAGTTCATCAATCTGTTAAGAAACTCAGGCAACGCGTTCAACTTGCCTGAGTAGAAGTTTCCCCCGCCTCCCACCCTCCAATTGTACTCTATGATGATGCGCAGTATTCGATGACGATGCGCAATGCCCCGATCTGTTCGTCGAGAGTAAACCCATCCCCTTTGCCTCGTTCGTATCGGTGTCTACTCAGTGAATCCACTTTGGCGATATTCTCTTCCATTCGATTCCTGTGGCCGCATTCTGCTGGTTTTTTGCTTGGTTCTGAGAGGAGTGTAGAGGAGAATTCGGGCAGGCGGGTGGCAAGAGCGGGGGATCGGAGGGCTTATTGGAACCAGGAAGTGGTGTGTGTGTGTGTGTGTGTGTGTGAGAGAGAGAGAGAGAGAGAGAGAGAGAGAGAGAGAGAGGCGTGTGAGTGGTGTTTGTGTGTGTGTGTGTGTGTGTGTGAGAGAGAGAGAGAGCTGTCTCTTATACACATCTAGATGTGTATAAGAGACAGCCTCTGGAGGTGACCGCAAATGCCCTTTTTCATT